TCTAAAACTCAGATACGCAAATATAAATACATGCACCAATGCACAGTCAGGGAGTAAATCTCGACACTCAGTGTCCCGAACTTTGGACTGGGAGGCAGGATTGCTCTACTACACTGACATTCAGAGAAGACAGAAAAAGTGCAAAACAACCAAAGCTGTTTAGAGGAAGTGCTAAAAAGTTGACAAAAGTTTTACCTTTTCTGCTTCCAGCGTCATTTGTCCAGTCCTTGCTTGACACTGGCTAAGGAACTTTCAATTAAAAACAATTCAATAGCTGTGAGGTTAGTTCTTTCACCTGTATGTTTTGGAGCTGTTCTGGATGTTGTTGCGTTTTCTCTCTCAGCTCACCTGTAGGACAAAGTTTAAACTCCAACACAGCACTGGGCATGTCATAAAGAGACTGTCAGACACTCGGTCTCTGATTGGTCACTCCCTAGCAACACTCCTTGACAGACAGAGCATCCTGGACCACTGAGGTGGCACAGAAGGGTTGACATCGGTTTAGGCCCCTCCCCCTTCCCAGGCTGGCTGTAATTACTAAGGTCCGAAGTGCATCCTTCCCAGAAAAAACCAACCGGTGGATATGAGGTAGAGAGGAAGAAGGGGGGCACCTGTGACCTTTCACACAGTTTCAGTAAATAAAAAAACACCATCACTTTATAAGGAGAATCATCCCTTCCGCAGACAGCACTGTGAACTCTCACTATCAGCAGTTGCACAAACACATATTAAGCTGTGTAATTACACAACAAACATGTACGATGGGGGGTGAACAGTTCTAAGACAAATAGAGAGGGGAACTCCAAGGAATATTGGAGTTGTTGGGCTGTTCATGGTGAGCATAGTGAATTGTAACAATGGAATAAAAGTAACAAGGACAGATGATACTATTAGAACCGCTGGTTTACCTAATTAATCCAAGCATCTCAGGTGAAAGAAGCCAGGGTATCAGCTTGAGCAGCTTGTTCCAGACTCCCACAACCCTCTGTGTAAAGGACTGTCTCCTGCGCTCAGTTTAAAATGCAATTTCCTATAGTTACCCCTTGTGTCCTCTTGGTTTTTTTTTGTGCATCATCAGGACAAGAGCAAAAAACGGGCCTGGAGCTAACGGGCATTTAAATCGACTTTCCGGTGAGTTTGAAGTGAAGTTTGAAGTTTGAAGTGAAGTGAGTTTGAAGACCAATACGGTGCATTTTTTAAATGCTACTGAGGATTGTGAAGGCTTCAGTCAGGCCCAGTTGCAGTTTTCTCTGTTCGAGATGAAAAAGATTGAGCTCTTTTAGCCTGCCAGTGTAAGATCTTCCCCAGCAGAGTCTCTAAACCTCTTGAAATCACCAGCAGCCTAAGAAGAGCGGGGAAGAGTTCAACTGTGCCAGTCAAAGCTGAATTAGACCAGTTAACCTGTTTTCCTCCTGGATCTCCAGCTGCCCCAGGGCACCTGCCAGTCTGGGGTCATCAAGGGTCAGAGTCTAGTGACTCCTTATCTAGATCCTTCTGTCAATATGTCTCAGGCAGGCAGGTGGCGAGATAAACTGAAAATCTAAACAATGTTGTGTTGCTGTGTTGCGTAAAGCCCAACGCAGGAGAACCGCAGCCCAGGGGGAAGGCGACTGTGAAACCGCCCTCAGTAGACACCATGATGGCAGCTCGTCTCCCTCTTTCCTTCAGCCACTCAGCTGTGCAGTACCTCACCTGCTGCCCTGAAACCAGGCTCTCCCACAGCCCTTCTCCAGATGAGATTAGATTAGGAACGTATGTTCTTGCAAAGGTCCCGGTGCTTTAAGGCCATGCTTGCCAAAACACGTCAATATAAAAATGAAGACTGTAGCTCCTTTATAGCTCTGTTTCCGAGCTTGTCAGCAAGATACACTAACGTAACACAACACTGAGGTCTGACCTTCATGTGCTTAGTTTTGTGGCAAACTGATCAGGAAGGTCTGAGTGCTTAACCGTGTGTAACTGTTATGCATCTACATTGGGACCTCCTGGTGGTTCCTCAAACCTCCTAGATTTGGCTGTTTCTGCCAGAGGTGAAGGTTCAGGCTGAACTGGTGCTGTGTGCCTCCCCACCTCCCTGTCACTTTAAGGCCAGGGTAACGAGGACAGCCTCTTCTGTGCTGCTGTTTCATCTCCTCCCGTTCATGTTTCTCCCTCACTCTCCGGTCCTGGCACTCCCCCTGTCAGCCTCCCTCTTCTGTCTCTGTTCTGTCTCTCCCCCACACCCCCTTCTCTCCTTCGATCTCTCCCTGTCTCTCGTCTCCTCCTGGTGGACCTCTCTCTCTTCCTCTCATTCTCCGAA